TCCGTGCCTGTACCGTGCCCGTGTTGTGAATCGTGCTGTTTGTTGCACAGTCATACGAAATCCGCTCTCATTTGTGTCCTAATACTACTTTAGTACTAAAATCCTTGATCGTTATACTTGTTATAWAATATTTATCTTTATTTAGTAATACCGCGCGTATGCCCTAAATGAATACATCCACTCCTGTGTTATTTATTGGCACAACGTAACAATTTAATTCCAATATATAAGTGCATGAGCGCTTACCGGGATGGTCAAAATCATTTATATTTATTGCTTCGTTGTGAACAGCATTAATTGTTGAGTTCCTATAGTATTTTACAGCAACCACGTGTTCTCTATACACTTTCTTTTCACAGTATCCAMATCTACCCTCACYAAGTACTTCATTTGTTGGACAACTCTTTAGGTTATTTCGATCTATTTGATGTGGAGATCTTTGAAGAAAAAAACACGAAGTATTCATAAAGCTCAATATGGTTGCATAAACTCTACGAATGCTTAGAAATTAATAGTGATAATTAATTTTACTTACGATACACTCTGTTTATTTCTTTCTTTGCGCCACATTTTCCAAAAAATAAACAGCTCTTTGCCTTTTTTCTTTGGCGTACAATTCAACATTTTCTGACTTTTTTAAATTTTTCTTTTAGCTTATTTGCTAGATAGGAAGWAGCCTCTTTTGTTGACATTTTCTTGAAATGATCTCTTTGCAGTTTCCTTCTCCTTCGTTGCTTCAACCTCAATTCTGCTTTAGTGTTTGGTCTTGATATTCGGAAGACGTATAGCATCTCCCTCCGTGGCTTGCTGAACTCCACGGGAGACAAGTGTGCCACTCGTCATGTGGTTTAGGCTCAAATGTGCCATTTTAGCCAGCAGTAAAGCAAGACCAAAGAGTTCGATTGTATTTTCCCTCCTCCATTCGCGCCAAAACAAGATTAATMTAGCGCCAAATATCTAGGACTATCGCGTGACCTCAGTCACGACTATGATCACGCCAGCCTACCCCTACTGAAGTTAGAACATCACGGAATTGATTTTCATCTAAAGCCGAGGCCTCAACTTTTCTCTCTCTCTCATTCTTACTTCTTTATAAGCTAAAGATTACAATTAGATTTCTTCAAGTTCGGTAAGCTTGTCATTTCATGTGTATTTGGATGTTTTTAACAAACCCCTCCCTACTCCTCTAAGGAGAGGGCGCATGTATTACCAAATACATCCAGTTTTATCTGACCAATGAAAGCAATTCTTGTACTTCGCGCTAAAATTTCAGATATTAGTTGTTGCTCGACTAGGTCAGTGTGTCAATCGATCGTGAACTGCTCCGTATCTTGTCAGAATCAAAATGTCTCAGCAAGAAGTACCGGAACAAGAAGTCTCTTTGACAGACCAATACGTTGTACTGCTAAATGATGTAGTAAAAGGAAGCAAACAACTTCATCAGCAACTATCATCAAATCAGCARAACAACGACATACAGAAAGCCCTGAAGAACCTAGCTGACAAGGTCGATAATTTATCGTCAAAGGTTGCTTCGACGAGTAGTTAGGCAAACAGGCGGCGGTAAAATTCATGTCCCAAGATTGTGTAGCGTAAGTACAAATATTGCTTATATTTTAAAGTTAAYYTTTCCTTTTTTTTCACTCTTGCAAAGTCATTTACAAATGTTTTGAGAGCTGAYCTTTTTCTCCCGCCTAAATTACTGACTTCATTTTTCCCGCTTATTCTTATTTCTAGCAAACGCTGTTCATTTCTAATATAATAAAAGAATTTAATGCATTGTGCTTACGCTTGCAAGATATAAATTAGTAGTCTTTTGCCAATTACACTCAATTTCTGTATGAAATTAGGCCAGAGAGCCGTTTAATTCAAGAATTGAATTTTGCGCCTAAAACCGATACTCATACGTCACAGCGGTAACAAAATACAGGCTATTAGCAAACTAGAGGTCAAATTATTAATGTTTTAGATGTTTGTGTTTTCAGAATGATGTACGTCGACACTTTAAAAAATTGGCCAAAGGTGATATAGAATCAGCTTTGAGGACACAGGAAAGGTTAGCTATTTTATGAAACATTAACAACTAATAAAACAAAGGTTAACTATGAACAGCATCTATTCATTAAAGCAACGTAAATGATTATCTTATGTATTTTATTTTACTTCTTTGTAGTGATGACTCGGATCACAATTTAAGAATTTTCCACCTAATGAAAGACCAAGTGTATCACGAGTACAAAGGCGAAGATAACTGTCCTTGGAGCTTGGTGCAGATGAAAGGTACATTACAAAATACATTTGATTTTAATTAATTAAATTAAAATTAAATTGAAATTTTGAAGCAATAACTGGATTTATTTACACAATGTGAATTTAGTTCGAATTCAGATACTTTTACGTCGTTTTCAATTTCATACTTATTAAATGTTTTTATTTGTAGCTGCATTTAAAACATACATGAGATCCAAGAGGGCCAGTGAAAAGAGGTCGAGAAATGATCAGAATTCCGCCCATGTTATATTGTGTCGTCGTCAGAACAGAAAGAGGGAGGTATGTATATTCTTAGGTATTATGAAAAAATAACAAAATAATGACATTCAAACAATAGAAAAAATACATTGAAGTGTGATAAAACGTCAAATACATTTTGCATTTCATGATTTCTAATTAGACACTAAGACATCTATATGTTAAATTTTGCAGAAACTGGGAAGGCGGCTAAAAAGTTTGGATTCCAAAACCTGGAATGCCGCTAAAAAGGCAGAAGTAGCGGACGTTATGAGAGTAGACTACATGTCTAGTGAGGAAAGTGATTTAGAGGATGGCTCCCCGGTTTATCTAGTAAAGCCACTCGTCTGGGAGAGCTCAGATCTTAAAAAAAGGAAAAGATCCCTAGACAAACACCATAGAGAATCTTTGCCTTCGCTCGTGAGGCGGAGGGTGATCCGACGTAAGGAAGGTCCACCCTCGTTACGAAACAAGCCTGCGTCCTGCCCTGAATGGGCTTGCCAGCAATGATATATTTTG